ATTTGTTCGAAATTAAGATATTCTTTCATTGTTAAATCACCATAAGCTTTTGCCATTACGATTGATGGTGGTTTGGATGGAATTTCAATGGCTGGTTGTCGTCCAGTTGCCACTAATTTCGTATACAATTCACGTGTTTTATAATATTTTTCCGTATAATTTCCTGATTCGGATAATGGTGCATCAAAATCATATGATGTTGTAACACGTAAACCATTATAAAAGGCAAAATTTGTACCACCAATAAATACATCAAAATTTACCGAACCATTTACCTTGAAAAGAATTTCGGATATTTGTTGTTCGAATTTAGATGCTGGATAATGAAAATGTGATTTATCACCCCATTGATCAAACATACCGGGCCAAAATTCTGAAACAAAAACCGGTCGATTTTTTTGATTATTTTTTAACTGTAATAACGCCGATGCATTTTCGTTAAAATTTGCCGTTTCCAGTAAATATTTCAAAGATCGAACTGGAACATCTATAGCCACCCAAAGATTATCTGATGTAAATAATAATTGTTCAAAATGATTTTCATTGACAATCATTTGATGAAGTTCATCCAGATATTTTAAATTTCTTTCCTTATGAATATCGCTATCAGCTAGTGGTTTTTCAAGTAAAAGTTGAACTTCACGTTATTATCCAGGTGGTAAAAATGTAAATTGAAATTGATTGATTATTTCGAATATTTTACGATAATATTTTCGTACTGGTTCTAAATAACCTTCGTATGGTGTTCGTAGTTTCATATGAGGATCTTTGAGTAACCAGGATGGAAAACCACCTAAATCCCATTCGGCACAAATATATGGACCAGGTCGTACAATAGCAAACATATCAGCTTTACGTATTTCATTTAGAAATTCAGTTAAATTCAAACCATATGAATCAAAATCAAATTGACCTGGTTGTGGTTCATGACGATTCCATGGTATATAAAATTGTACAGTATTTAAACCGGCTGCTTTAAATTTCTGTAATGTTTGTGGCCAATATTCGGGTACGATACGAAAATAATGAAGAGAACCGGAATAGATAACAAATGGTTTATGATTTAAGGTAAATTCCGGGCCATTTGCTTCTAGTCCGATATCAATTTTATTTCCATTATTTGTATAATATTCATACAATGTTGGCAATTTAGCCGAACAAATTTCTATGAATAAAATACAGGAAAAGATGTAGGCAAAAATGATTTTGTTCATCGTTTTTTTTTTAAATTTGTTGTTGTCGAATGTACGTGCAAACAATCAATGGCAAGGACAATTTATATCAAAAAATTTATTTGAAAAATAAAAAAATTTATATGAAAAAAAGGGTTGAAATAATAATGAAATCAGCTAATAAATCCAAAAGTCAAAATGATAATTCAATTTTCATTAACATTAAAAATCCAATATCAAGATTTTTTATTTGATTTAAAAAATTTTTTTGTTTATTTTAGATGATTAATTTTATCGGTATTTCAATGAAATGAGATAAAGATTGTTGATTAATTGATAAATAGAAAGAAAAAAAAATACAAAGTAAAATAATAGCGCCATAATCAATCATTTTTTAGATCACATTTGATTGATATTTAACAATTTCATCTTTGGTAACCTGGATACGACGTTTTAGATCATCGATTTCTGAACCAAGTCTATTTTTTGCCGATATTAATGATTGTAATGTTTCGGATTTTTTCTTTTCAAAATCAGTTTCAGATCTTGTTGCAATACTTGGTGGTAATTGTTGTGCAGATTTTAATAAACGTAACATTGTTCTTGATGGATCAGAGAATACAATTTCATCATAAAATTCCGAAACAAGATAATCAGTAAAAACAGGCATAGGGCCACCATCCGGTGCAGCACCTGGTTCAATTTTAAATAATTTCAGCACATGAAATAGATTTAATGGACGTTCATTTGGATCTTTAAAATAGATTCGTATAGCAACACCAAATTCACCCCAACCAGTTTCATCAACTTCATATGGTGGTTCTTCGCATACACGTAGCGAATTTGGATATGAATCATGCAGTTTAAAATGAACTTTTTTTATATAACCAGATGGATCTTCATTATTATAAAAACGTAGATAAATTTTCCATTCATGTGTATGGCCATCATCACGTTTATGTCCAAAATAACGTGCAACATTACCATAAACAATTGGTTTGGCAATTGTTACACCTTTAACACGTGGACCAAAATCTTCATGTTCTTGTTGTTGTTGTTGTTGTTGAATATTGTTAGTCGATGATTTTGATTCATTTGTCATTTTTGTTTTATCGCGATAATCAAATAACGAAATTAAGCTTAGAAGAACCAAATCCAAAACAGAATCAAATGTGTTTACCATTCGAATGATTACCTCATTTATTAATAGGCTATATACGGAGCTCATTTCATTTCATGACTTGCTTAATTTTTTCTGTTTTTTGTTTTCTGTTTTCAATGAAAAACAAAATTCTTTAAATTAATTTTCTTTATTCGAAAATAAAATGAGCAATATGAATCAAGATTTAGAAGAGACGGGAGAATCGAAAAAGTTTGTTGTTTGCAAATTATATTTGTTTTATAATAATTATGAAATTTGTTTTAGGCTACAGGATCAACAAAGAACAGAAAATCTGAATAATAATAAAATGGATATTGTTAAAAATGGCGATATTATTAACAAAGGTGATGATGTTAAACATGAAAAGAATAATAAAGAAAAAAATCAGGCTATTTCGAATGTACCAACACAGCCTTCATCATCATCGAAAAATTCGGCCGAAACAATGCAAGATTTGAAACGTGCTCTTGATCGATTACAACTAAAATCGGCTGCAATGGGACTTGGAACCGGTATCGATCAACCAAAATCACGTGAAGATGCATTGAAAAAAAGATATGATTTTTGGGAAACACAACCAGTTCCAAAATTGAAAGAAGATGATCCACCTGCCGATCTAAATGCACCGATTCATCCACCAATTGAACCGGAAAAAATTCCTAAAGAATGTTTTAATTTACCATCAGGTTTTCAATGGGTTAGTTTAGATTTGGATAAAGTAGACAGTGAAGAAATGTTTGAATTATATACATTGTTGGCCGAAAATTATGTTGAAGATGATGATAATATGTTTAGATTTAATTATTCACGTGAATTTCTTCATTGGGTATTACAAGCACCTGGTTGGAATCCTGATTGGTTTGTAGGCGTACGTGTATATAAACCGGATCAGAAAAAGAAAGGTAAATTAGTTGGATTTATTAGCGCAATTCCATCAACAATTCGTGTATATGATAAGTAAGTTTTTTATAAAGATTTGGATTGGATTTTGATCTTTTTTGTTTTATTAAAATATCAACGTAATTTTAGAGTGTTGGAAACTGTTGAGATAAATTTTCTTTGTGTTCATAAAAAACTTCGTTCAAAACGTATGGCACCAGTATTGATTAGTGAAATAACACGTCGTGTACGTTTGAAAGGAATATTTCAAGCATTATATACTGCCGGTGTATTTCTGCCGAAACCAATTTCAACATGTCGTTATTTTCATCGTTCATTAAATCCAAAAAAATTGATTGAAGTTGGTTTTTCACATCTAACACGTAATATGACTATTGCACGTACAGTAAAATTATATCGATTACCTGAACAGCCAAAATTATCCGGTTTACGACAATTTGAATTGAATGATATTAAACAGGTTCAAATATTAATGAATAAATATATGGAAAATTTTGATCTGGTGCCTTTATTTTCCGAAGAAGAAATGGCTCATTGGTTACTTCCACGAACCGATGTTGTCGATTCATATGTTGTTGAGGTAGATTTTTGTTTGTTTTTTGTTGATGAAAATTTTAATTGATTTGATTTTTGTTTCAAACAGCGGACCACCAATGAAAATAATGAAGAAGAAAAAGAAATAATCGGTTTTTTTAGTTTTTATATATTACCATCAACAGTTATGGATCATAAACAATATAAAGAAATTCGTGCTGCATATTCATTTTATAATGTACCAAGTGAACATTGTACATTATTAGAATTGATGCATGATGCATTGATTATTGCAAAAAATGTATGTATTTTTATGAAGAATCAACGACTTTGAGCAGAATGTAAAATTGAAATTGAAATATTTTTTCCCCTTTTTTCCCTCAAAAGACTAATCTGGATGTATTCAATGCACTCAATCAAAGAGATAATGAAGTATTTTTAAAAGAATTAAAATTCGGTGAAGGTGATGGTAATCTACATTATTATCTATTCAATTGGAAATGTCCACCAATGAAACCGGAAAAAGTTGGAGTCGTTTTACAATGAAAAAAAAATGTTTTTTTTTGGAAAATTATTATTATTATTATTATGAATTTTTTTTATTATTAAAAATTTTGTTTGTAGTTTTTTTTATAAAAAAAAAAATTTGGAAATAAACAACAAATTAGAAATTCTAATTAGTCATTTTACAAAAAGAAAAAAAAATGTATTTTTTAATGAGTTTTTTTCATTTCATTTTTCTCTCGGTTGTTGTTGTTTGTTCAGCAGTTTCCGATTGACTTGACATTGAAATATTAATTTTAGTATTTGGTGGCATCAAAACTGAACGTTGTTGATTTGAACGTCTTTTACATTCTTGTTCAAATTCAGCCAATACATATAAACGTTCAATCAATATAGCTAATACTATCCATAATATTAATATTTCACTGATCAGTAAACCAATTACTAACCATAACCATTGACGAAATGGTATGTTTAATAATTCAGCAATACGAAAATGATATGAATAATCAGAAATATAACGTGTTATTTGTAAAAAATCTTCCGTATCATAATATCTGATTGATCCAAGTCTTTTTCGAAACTAAATGTTAAATGTAAATCAAAAAACAAAAAAAACATAACCAGTTAATAATGATCCACACTGTGTTGTCATATACTTACATAATTTTCAAAATCTTTGTTCATTTTTTTGTTTTTGTTCAAGATTGAAAATTGTGGACATTTATTTACTTTTACAAATATATTTACTTTTATAAATAATAAAAAATTCGAATTTATTTCATTTTTTGTTTTGTTTTTGCTTTGAATAAAAATATATTTTTCTAATGAATTTGATATTGGCACTTTATTTTTTTGAGAGAAAAAAAAACAAAATGATCACATTATGAATTGGATGGATATTATAAAAGAGATAATCAAAAATGACAAGACATATGGGTTTGAAATAAATACATTGAAATGAAATGATGAAGCTCAAGATGATGTTTTAATTTTAAATATAATTAATGTAGATAAAACCAATATAATAATATATAATGATGATATTGTAAAGCCAGATATAATTTTTTCAAAACGTAAATCTAAACCACGAAATATAATATAACGTAATGAATTGATTGGTTGTGTTAATGGTAATGATAGACTAATATAATAAAATAATCTTGGTAATGATTCAACTGGCCAAATAATTCCGGAAAGAACAAAACCAGGTATAAAAATTCCTATTGAAAATTGAATTAAATTAATATTGATTAATATATGATATGATTGAACAAAAACAAACCAAACCAAAACAAGATTTACCTGAGATAAAAAATGCAGCTGAACTTGGTCGTGGACAAATAACACCGACAAATAAACCGGCAATAATACCCATAAATCCAAGCATTGAAATTAATGACCATGGTCCATACCAACGTATTGTTCGCCTTGGAATACCAAATATATTTTTCATAATGAATATTAATAATAATTCTTGTAGGAAAAAAAGTGCCGATTGAGAGATCATATGTGATATGAGAATTTCAATACCGGATGCACCAGCCGTTAAACAACGTTCCTGTAATCCGGCTATTTGTTCTTTAATGAATAAATATGCCGTTAAAACTAATGCATAAGCAAAAACAATTGCCAATAATGTACCAGGTAATATAAATTCAATAAAACGTAATCGTACATTTTCATATAATGTTGAAAATTTTGTACGAAAATTTAATATTTCCAATGAAATTGGTATATGATTTTGTTTCATCCAATGATATATTTGTGGACAATCAAATGGCATTAATTCATGCATACGTTCATCATTGGCTAATAATTTTTGCATTGAATCAGCCAATGTAAAATTTATAAGATAATTAATGAAAAAATTTGAACCATCCAAATGTAAACGAAGGCCAAACATTGTTGAATTGAATCCCATTCGCCAATTATAAATTAATTGATCACAATAGGTAAAATCATCATCATCATTATTATTATTATTATCATTGCCATTATTCTTATCATTAATTTGACTAGAATTTTGAAAATTAGGTACTGTTTGTTCTATTAACCAAGGTATAATAACAGCTAATGTTTCACCACGACGTATACGTTTAATTGATTCATTAACATCACCGACAATAATTTCTGGATGAAAAATTGTACGATCAATTGTATAACGAATTAAACGTTCAATACGTGGATTATTTAGATCTTGTGGTTGTGCAACAATTGTAACAGGTAAATTATGTATCGATGTTAATGGTCGACTTGATAGAAAACAAATTAATATTATTTGCATAGCCGGAAATATAAAATAAAATAATATGATTAAACGTATATTTCCAATTATAATGAAAAAATTTTTCAATATTAATGAATATAAACGTTTAAAATCAAAATTAAATAAATGAGATATATATGCTGTACGACGACGTTCAGCAATTGGCCATTGTGCCATTGGTAATGGTAATGATGAACGTTGTAAATCTTCAACATCCATTGAATCACCTGAATAACCACTACCATCATCATAATCATCAGAATTGATTGTATGATGTTTATCTTTATGATGATGATCATCATCATCATGCTTATCCATTGGATATGTTACAGGTTCAGTAATATCTGAACTAGAACTATCATGATGATGTTGATGATGTTGAAATTCAATTGAATTTTCACTATCTTCTTCGCCTAATGATTGACATTGTGTTGTTTGATAACTTAATTGTGATGGTGGTGGTATTGTTAAATTTCCTGAAAATCCTTGTCCATCATTATTGGTTTGTTGATAATAAACAATTGATGGCCGTAAACGTCTTGGTATATTTGACATACAAAATTTATTATACATTTGAATATATGTACGACAATGATAATTTCTTAATAATTCTTCTGGACGATCTTCAATATAAACATGACCATCACGCATTAAACCGGCTTTATATGCATAACATAATTCTTCAGGATGTTTTGTCGTAAATACAATTGTCATTCCTAAATGAAGGTTTTGTTTTAAAAAATTAAGGAAAAAATCACCAATAATGATTGATTATCATCAAAAAAAAGGACATGGAAGAAAAAACTTACCATCTTTTTCAGATAATTTTTCCAAATATGACCAAACTGTTGATCGTACAAATGGATCAACATTATCGGTTGGTTCATCTAACAATAATAATGGTGGTGAATGTATTATGGCAACCATTAATGAAAGACGCCATTGATTTCCTTGATCTAAATCTTTTACTAATGTTTGTGTTAATGTAGATGATGATGATGATGATGAAAAGCAATGATGATAATCAGATGATTTTTGTTGATAATTAGTTTCGAAGAAAAAATCATTCAACATTTTTATTCGTAAATAAATCATACTTGGTGGTAATTGATAAAGACGACCATAATAAAGTAATGTTTGTTCAATAGTTAATTCTGGATGTAATGCAATTTTTTGTGGCATATAACCAACACATATTGCTGATAATGGTGTTAATGATGGTCGTTGTCCAAATACTTCGATTGCTTGTGAATTATTATAAATCGGTATACGGCCAAGAATACATTTCAATAATAATGATTTACCATTATTTGCTGAACCAAGTAATGCATAAATTTTACCTTTAGGTATTTCTAAATTAATATTATCGAGAATATTTTCATATGAAAATGATTCAATACGTATAGCACATTTGGTTGGTATACCAATCATTTCAAAACATTCTTCATTCGGTACAGTCATTAATGTATGCATATTTCGACAGAATGGTGCATGATGTAGTGCATATCGTAATGCTTCTAATGATGCTAAACGTTCTTGTTCATCTTGTTCATCAGATTCTTCACTATTACCATTATTACCATTATCATCATGGCTATTATTATCATTTGAATCATATTCTGAACGATAATAATTATAACTATTACGTTCTTTTTCATAAGCCCATGATTTTCCTAAAAATAATGATTGTGGTGATTGTAATCGTAGTTGTTGTTGTTGATATTGTCTTTGATGATAATCATCATTATTATCATCATAATCATTATTCGATATTGATATGGATGTTGAACGAAATATATTCATTGATTGATCAAATTGATTGTTTGTTGTCGCCGCTGTTGTTATTCCCAATATTGTTGTTGGTGATAATGATGTTTGTTGATCAATAAAACCGGTAAATTTTTTATCGCCATTCATTTCGATTTAATTAAATAATCTTGAATCTAAACGAATACAGAAAAAACAACAAAACAAAACAGTTATTTTTACAAACAACAGTGAATCTGAGAATGGTTCAAACTGACCAAAATCGTAAATAATCATCATCGAACGATCGATCGATGAAATAAACAAACGTAAACATCTTCAGTGCATACATATTTATTATTCAAAAAAGAAAAGAAGAAGAAGAAAATGATGGATCGACAGAAACAGCGAAAAAAAAACGAACGAACAAACAAACAAACTTGGCAACTTGAAAATAATAAGCAAATATTCAACCAATGTCAACCAAAAATACCTGTGTGTGTGTGTGTGTGTTATTGGGCAATATCACTATAGAAACTCAAACAGTCAATCATCCGTGGTAAAGAAAAAAATACAAAACTTCATAACTAACTAACTAACTGAATAATAATGATCAATGGATATGCAAAACAAACAAACTACAAACACACACTTACAATACCTGAATAGAATGAATGAATGAATGAATGAATGATGGAAATTCTCACCACTTTTTAAAAAAAAGAGTGAAGGTGAGAGACAAAGAAATTATCAATCAATCAATCATAATTGATGATGATTATTGTTATTTGATTTATTTGATTAAGATCGATCGATCGATCGATCAGTGGTAGCAGTAAGAAATTTGATTACCCGAACAAATTTGATCTACCCCAGAAAAAAGTTATATAATTTTGTTTTTCGTAACAATCCATAATCGTTTTTCTTTGGAAAAAATCGAATTAATCCTTTTTTTCGTTAGTTAATGAACTAATTACCAAACGAAAAACGAAATCTACCTGTAGACACCAAGAGATAATCATTAAATTTTTTTTCAGTTTGGATAACGAAAAAAAAAATAATTCATGAAGCAATGAATCAATGAAGCATGGATTATGTCTATTTAAATCCATTTTGGATTTTTTTTTCTTAAAACAATTGTAAAATTTGCTAATAATAACAACTTTGATTGACCTTGGCTTAATTGGAAGGATTGAATTTTATTTTTTTTTTAATTAAACAAACTATTTCATCATTATCATCATCATCATTGCTAAAATATTTATAGAAATTTTTGTTTTCAAATAAAATTTGTATTAAAAAAAATCATTGGAAAAATCGGTTTTTTTCAGGATAAAAAGCCATTGATTGAATGAATATTTGATTAATTAATTGATGGGGAAAAGAAAGATATTGATGATGATTATGTAATTGATCATTTCGATCATTGATTGATGGCTGTCACACGTGCATATCCTTTCTTTCTGTTGTTGTTTGAAAAATAACATTCAACAGAAGTGTGTGTGTGTCCATCACACAGATCAATGATCAAATTATTTAATAAATGTTCTTTATTAAGTTATTATGCAAATAGAAATGTTGATGATTATGATGATGGATCATTCATTGTCATCATCATCGTCGTATGAGGAAAAGCAGAATTTTTTCTTTTTTTTTTTGTTCAATTCAACTGTCAATCAAACACCTATTCTAATTAAATAATTATTATTGGTAAAGAAAAAAAACCACAAAGAATTTTGTTTTTTTTTTTGGTTAATGGAAATTTCTCATTAAAAATTACCATTTTTGGTCAGTTAGTAAAAGTTAAGGTAAGTAAAGTCAGTAAGTAAAGTAAGTAAAAGTTTCTTAATTAAAAAAAAGCGATAAGAGAACCCCTCTTTTCGTGAAATGAAATAAAAAAAGATTTTCTTTTTTGCTGATATTTCAAGGATATATTTATCCATCAATTAACATGATGATAATGATATGGCGACATACTTTTTTTTCTGTTTGTTTGTTTGTAATGATATTTTCAATGTTATTGAAATTGAAATGAAAGAAAAAAAATACATCAGGTATGCATATTGATAGATGGATTAATTTATCAGTTTTTCAAATTTTTTTTTTCAATATCAAGATGATGGTCATGGTAATGATATTGAATGTGAAACAAAAAAAAAATCATTAGAAAATCATTTCATTTTTGATTTACAGAAAAAAAATCCGGTTTACCGGTTGATCAAATGGGAATTTTTGCCAATAAAAATCAAAAAACAAACATTACCTGGATGCTGATGATATTTAAACTGTTTTTTAACCGAAAGAAAAAAACTATTTTTCAACGTTAATTTGTTGTTGTTGTTTTGGGTTTTTTGTTTGGTTGTTGAATAGCCGAAAACAAAAGTTGGTCGCATCATAAATTCACATAGGTTTTGTTGTCATTTTTTTTTTCATTGCACAAAAACAGATCAAAAAACATATCAAATTTTTTTCTTTGAAAAGATGATGAGAAAAAAAAAACCCAACCATTTGATCAAAATGATAATGATGATCATTCTTCTTCTTTTTCAACCATCAGAATATTATATTTTTCTTTAGTTTAAAAAGAAAAAATAAAACATTTTTTTTTTAATCAGCAGGTATGGTGATGTTCATTGATCAAATTAAATTAATTATTTTCTTCGCTTCGCTTCGGAAAGGTTGTTTCTTTTTCTAACGAATAATGAAATGATGATGGTCAAATGACTACTACTGTTACCACCACCACGAATGCAACGAATTCTACCACCACCACCACTACATCTTTGTGAATATCTTTAAACCGAAACCGAAAAAAACATCATCATCATCATTATCAGCAACTAAATACTGAAGGGTATTTTACATAAATTACGCGTTTCATTGCAAAAAAAAAGCGCGCGTAGCTGTAGTTTTTACCTTTATTTTTTTAAAAAAGAAAGAAAAAAAGAAAAGGTAAACATTTAAAAACATACCTGTCTTTCATCATCATCACGGTGTTTTTTTTAAAGAAAAAGATGTATGTGTATATCATTGATGGATGAATGGATGGATGAATGAATGAATGAATTGATGATATATTCAGACAGATTTTTGTTGAAAATTATAAATTATAAATGAGATATCTTTTGATGTTGTTTTTTTTTTGCTGTAAACGTCGTTTATTTAAAGATAATAAATGAATGATGATAATGAATGAATGAAAGTTAATTTGATTGCATGAATGTTGTTGGTTGGTTGGTTGGTTGTTCATTGAAAAACAACCTCTTATTGGTTACTTGTTTATCTTCATCAATATCATCAAAGTTCGGGGTGAAAATGAATTTTCATTGATAATGATGATATGTGTGTGTGTGTGTGTGTGTGTGTGTGTGTGTGTGTGTGTGTGTGTGTG